TAGGCAAGGACTGCAAAATGAACCCCATTCTGCTCCCTTGCATGTATTCTTTTACTGTCTCTGTTCTGTTCTCTCCGACTGGCAAATGGTGCCTACCTACCATACTGCTTGTGCTTCCAAAGTCTTTCCCAGTATTTTGTTGTGATAGAGTTTGATTTGCTTGTCTAAAGCTGGTGTATTGATGGTGTAGATTTGAAGCTACGTACCTATAACCCTTCGCTAGCTGGGAAGAACCCCCCAGTGTTGAGGTGGCTCCTGGGAAGGCTCTGTCTCCCATACAGATGGACTTGTTACTCCAGTATCTCCAAGACTGTGCTATCAAACTCCTTCTGGTTCAAATAATTTCCCAAAACCATTGAGCTATCCTGAGCTATCTGTAGGCTGGGAAGCACCATAGATGGATATTTCACCACACTGGAGAATTCTTCCAAATGCTTCCCTATGCCCGTCACTCTCTCTCTGGTCTTGACTGAATTCAGCTTTATTCATTACTTTAGCTTTAAGCCCAGCCCCATGAAATTTCAGCAAGAGCTTTCTTTAGCGCATTTGCTCCAACCTGACTCCGCAAAAAGTACTCGAAAGTGCACCAAAATTTACTCGTTTCAAGACTTTGAGGGAAATACCTCTAATGCTGTAAGTGCTGAGAGCATTCTGAAGGCATGAACATTCAGACTCAAACTCTGCCAGCTGAGAGCAAAGACTTCCTTTGTGATTCTTGCTACATTTTGGATTTAAGATTTACTGTCAGTGCCAGAAGACACTAAACCAAATTTTGAAATACAGGAATATGCAGCTACAAATTCTCTAGGTCTGCTACCATTTTAAAAAAGACCCACTGGACCTAATCCTACTGGCTTGCTCCTGGTCTACCACTGACCTGACTGGAAGAATTTTTAGATTAAGGTCTACAGCACCAGAAAATGCAAAAGATGTCTTGATGTCTTCTTTTTGATTTACAGAACAGAAGGTCTGTAAATTAGTTCAATGTGCCTACTAACTTTCAAAACTGTTTAAAGGTGGAGTTTAAATAATCAGCCAAGTTTTCAGCAAACGCTCCAGGAGGCTTGATGCTCAACACTTCTGAAAAATCTAACTGCTGAAATACAGATTTTGTTTTTGGAAAGCAAACCAAACCAAACCAGCCTAACCTTTGCTTATATTAGACGAGAAACTGAAACAAACAAACAAAAAGAAAAGTGGTGGAATTTGTTTTAATTCCCCTGCTCCCCCTCCCCCTCCCCCCCATTTAAGCTGCCTTTTTTCCTAAGATGAAGAGGGTTCATTTTCATTCTTTTTCTGCACAGGTACATTTATTATTGAATAAGCAGCATCATCTGCTCAGAGTGTGATTAAAAAAAGAAATGTAGGCCTTGCACTCAGGTAGCTCACAAGAGAAAATAAAAAGCCCAAGAGAAGCCATGGGGGATAGTAAATGCTTCCACCACCTCTTAAAGGCATAAAAGCAACTTTCCCATTTCTGTTGTGCTGTGTGGTTATGGATGACATTTCTCCAGCACAGGCAAAAGGAGAACACTTTATTAAATTTCTAATATATGATCCTAGAGAAATAGAGGTTTAATATGAGTGTGTGTGTAATACTTGTAATATACATACTTTTTTAAAGGGGTGCGTTACAACCTTTTGGGTTCAGGAAAACTTCATTAATAGCTCACTTTCCAATACTGGCACAGTAAAGGATTTTTGTCAGTTAGACTTTTGCACTTTTCCAAAAGCTGTGTTTGGAGCAACATCACTATTTTATATTACATTTACAGTGCGTACTACCATGCATATCAAATCTGAAGTGGCTGAATGCCCATTTTCAGATGCTTGTAGTTACTGTTACAGAAAATTGAATTCAGCTGCATCCTTGAAATTGCTTCTGAAATTTCTTTACAAACATAGAAGAAGACTTAATCCATCATAATATTATTCACATTCCCAATACTTCTATTTTGAAAACCTCAACACAACAGAAATTACATAAAGAATTCTTATTTGACATATTAAAGACACAACGTTTTAAATTTCATTACTGCTTTCTTGACTGTGTGTCACAATTCTGTGAAGATCAGGTTCTCGTGCTGAATTGGGAACGTCTTCACTGGGATGAATCTATTGTTTCCTTGCTGAGTTTGGCGGTTTCAGTTTGTAGCCTGCTAAAAAGTAGGAAGTCCTGCTTAAAAAATCGCAACAAACAGAAAAGCCTCATACCTCAATATCTGTGGAAAAGAGCCCTCTGAGCAGGTGCAAGAATCACACAGATTTTCCATACAAGCCAACAGGCGGGCTCTGAAGATGCAAAAAGAAGCTGGTAGCACGTTGCAACAGCCTATCAAAAGAGGCTGCACTCATTCTTCAACTACCTGAGCTGCACCCCTTAGTTGTTTAACGTCTTCGAATCAGGAGAAGAAGGAACTGAAACATGCTTTATACCAGGAACTTGATAGCCACAGAGTGGTGATAGGGAAAAGCCACAGAAAATCACCATGTAAATGCTCTTCCTGCTTCCCAAGTCAAAATTGCTTTTGGTGCCATGAATGAAACCTACACTTTATCTACTACATATCTACATACTATCAGGTAGCATATACCTGCCACTTTTTCACTTACCAGTTTGCTGGATTAACCAAGTCACTGTCATGTGTTGTTGTAACTGATACGCTATTTTGGAAGCAAAGAAGGGAATTTTTGCTCCATGTTTTTGCCTTAGGTAAACAACAGTGCACATCTGTATACTCCAACACTTACTTTACAAAGCATGTTTAGTAAAGAAAAAAAATAACTGCAGATTTGCGGAAGGAATTCCTTTTATTATACAAAATATTTGTCAGCTTTGATATTAACCTACCAAAGTTTTTGAAATTGAACTTATAAATGTGGAGGATGCACGTACACACATCTACATAGATGGAAGATACATGCTACTTGGAAAGAATTTTCAGTTAATATGTTAACTAGAAACTGACTGTGACTTTCATGATATTATCTCCCCTGTACATGAAGTCAATGACTATTTAAGTATATTGGCAGCAATTTGTATGTCCTGTGACTATATTTCACAAAGACATACTGTGTTTTGTGTTATATACATTAGAAAGACGTACTGTGTAAAACTTCCCCTTTGTTAAAAATCACTTTGTCCTAAGTATTTAAATTGTTTTGTGCTTTCAAAAGGCACAATTAAGCATCTAATGAAAACTTCCATTCAATGTTACACATAACACAAAAAGAGAAAAAATGTTTGAGACATCAATGATAATATTTTAAATACATTGGCATAGGTAAGTAGATGTCTTTTTGCTTTATTAAACTGACAGTTCAGTTCTGAAACTTTATTTTGAAAAGATTTAAAAAGGATTTGTGTCTTTAGAAATAAAAAATATAACAGGCATATCTAAAAAGTATAGAAGAGAAAACCTGATTGTTACTACTAATGAAATAGCTGATGACAAAATAGTAGTCTTTTTGATTTTGATCACAAAAAATAAACTGGTAGTGACAAGATATGATGGATAGATTTGACATCCTGGCGAATCACTGTCATTGATTCAATTATTCTAATTCAGAATAAAAGCTGTATACAGTATGTGTTTATGCTACAGTGGAGTTTTTTAAGTGATTGACATTCATCATATTAGTTAGACAGTTTTAAAAGCTATGTCTTTGTTTTACGCAGCGTTGTCAAGAAAAAAATAAAGAACCTGGATTGCAGGGAAAAAGAAAGCAACCACTTAACCAACTCTTGGTTCCAAACCCATCAAAATAAGTTACCATTATTGCATCCTATTAACATGTTCTTTGAAGAGTCAATTTCACTCCAGCCGTGTAATACACTATTATAAAGACTAAATTTTGAAACTGTAATGCAATCTTACAGCTGGGTGGCTTGGAACTTCTGCAGAGAGGAAGGTATTACCTTTCAAAATGGAAGTCAGCCTCAGAAGAAAGAATGCAAACCACTTTAATTTACAGGTCAGCTTCGCTTTACCATTCTTTTGTTTGATGAGATACACGCAGAGATACATACAAAATAGTTGGCAGTTCAGAAATGGTGTATCTAAAGGTACAGAATCTGAATTAAGTAATTCAAGTGTATATTCTGCCCTGCTTTAGACCAGCATGCTGTGATACCCTTCCCCGAGCTCAAACGCACTCTTCTGGTTTTCTAGCATTAATGTAGCTGTCGGTTTGAATTTCAATCTTGAATTATGTCTGCTGACATAATTTCATAGTGCTGACTTCAATTGTTTAGGATTACTGTTTCAAACTACAGAAGGAAATAATTTCATTTCTCTATGGCTAGTAAAATCCATTCAAGTTCATTTTAATGCATGTAGTAAGCCATAAGGCAAAATAATGATCTATAATATATTGCTGATTAAAAAACCCACCATTCTTAATTCCTGGCACATTAGAATAAAAACTATCTTACATATTTTAAATTTATCATTACATATTTAATAAACTAATGCAAATATTTCCTTAAAGAATGGTATTTCAATTACAAAAAATGTTTTCAAACCATAACTGTGTAGTTTGCTTTTGGAATAACACGTGACATTGCTTAATTTCATTCCTTTATTTCAATGAACCGTCCAACTTAACTTATTATGCATACAAAAAATGGCATGTAAGTATATAAAAATTCCATTGGAAAAAATAGCTTTTTTTTTTTTTTTATTGTAAAAAAACCCCAACTAGAAGTGAAAGGGTAAGAGTAATTTCTGTATTTGAAGGAAAGGAACAAAATACTGTACGTTTACAGTTGAGCAGAACAATGGCAGTATCCAACATAACAGAAGCAAAATCCAAATAACCCCAAAATCAGTACAAAGGAAACAGAACAAAAAGGAAAAAAAAAAAAGAAGGCACCATATGATCACATGTATTTTTAAAGACTGCCGGGTCAAATCATTAAGAAAAATATTTATATAAGTCATTAACACTCATAATTAGAGTGTCATATAAATCTGAGTGAAACTGCTAAGGAGAAATCACTAGAAGTCCAGGTGCTTCTTGCCGATGGCCATAGCACCACATCCTGAGCTCAGCAGTTTGGCGGATCCTGCCAGCTCCTGTTTGCTTGCGCGGCTCACTGTGTCTGACAAGTCTGGAGGCAAATGCAGTCGCTGTGGCAGGAGATTTTCAGGAGGGAGACGGGGAGAGAGAGAACATAAAGAGAGAGAGCAAAAATAAAGAATAATTGCAGTAGAATTTATTTTCCATAGCATATTTCAAAATGCAGTCTTTTTCCTGACTGATCAATTTTTACCAACACAAATAAAACACTTCCAGGATGCTCTTTTAGGCTGAGCTGGAAACAGTTTTCTGTGTTTTCTATATATTGGATTCTGTAAATTGGAATAGAGTTTTTCCTCATGAAAATCTTCTAAACAAAATCCAAATGTGCTTGAGGTATTTAATTATATCTCTGGGCATTTTTCCTTCAGAAACAAGTGTTCTGCCTGTATGTCAACCCCTACATCAAATCCTTTGATTTCTATGGCATTACAATATAAGTACAGTTTTATTTTAAACATGCATACTTTGTGGCAGAGTCTGAAAATAAATGATGTCATGGACAAAAGACGGAGAGGGCCCACCCTGCTTGCAGCATTATTCTACTACATGTTTCTTCTTCATGTTCTACTGATAGTTGTTGATAAAACCAAGCAGTGACAGTAGTTGTATCTGTATAAGGCAACCATACATGCTGATCAAACCTTGCCATCCCTTGTGAGTTGTAGGAACATTACATCCAGTTTACAGATGAGGAAACTGAGACGCAGGTTACGTGGTTGTCCACAAGCACACAGTCCTTGCATAATAAACCTTATTTTTCAGCTATGACAAAAATATTTCAACTCTCCCTCTGAGGGTCTTTTACACTGGAGATGATACACAAAAGACATGACATTACCACTTAGCTGTTGTAAAGCAAGGCGAAAATGAATGTAAAACTGAGGCTTTATTTGGCTCACTTTGGACACAGTGAGGCACCGAAAGCTGGTCAGATGAGACAGTTGACATCTCCCACCCAGTGCAATAACTTATCAATCTGGTATCATGGAAGAAGCATATTTCTTGAAAGATTTGGTAGGCAAAGGTTAAACTGTGTGGCTCTTCCTTTAGAATGCACATACTTCTGAAGGAAACAGGATAACAGCAATGGCTACAAAACTGTATTAGGAGGCTGTGTGGGCTGTATTCTCCACTTTTGCTATGGTTTTGCTTTCATCACAACACAGAAATACAGCTGCCTTTATTCAACACCTTTGCAACTTCTGTAGGATAAGAATTTAAATATTAAATATTTATATAAGAAAAATCTGTATTTACAGATGTTCAGTTCATTACTAGCTTTTGGATTGTACAATGACCTATAACTTGAGAGGTGCTCCAAAGTGCTTCCTACCACCAGCCTCCTGGCTGTGCACAGTGGAGGGAGAATAATGTGTGCTGGGTGGTTATCTATCTCTTCCATGGAAGGAAATGCACAAAGTAACACACGTGGAGTAGGAAAGCCTGTGCCCAGGGTGAGATTACAGTCCTCTGTGTTGAGATAGGACAAACGCGTGTATTTATTCACAGCACTTTGCCTGTGAAGCACACTGTACCACAAACCATCCCTTGTATAGATGATCTAGTAACTACGTAGCTCTTTCTTACATGTCACTGTATTAAAATCAGTGTTGTGTACGGTATCCTCCTCTTACAATTCTTCCCTTATTCCTAAAAAGACTAAGCATGGCTGTGGATGTGAACTGTGGTACATGATGCCTCATTTCTACACCAGCACAACATAAACCAGTACATGTGCCTATCTCGTTTGTCTGCTGAGAAAAACGTTTGTGAGGAAAGCGCCAGCGTACAACTTGGATTATATGAGGGGGGCTGTGACTACTGGAAGACGAAGGATGAGGGAAAGCCGGGAAGTGCAGGGGAGCACTTGGCACGTCTTTCAGTCACATTTTCTTTCCAAAAAAGTGTACAGTACTCTGCTAGCAGCATACAGGGTATGTGGTATGTGGGAGGTGGAGAGACGAGAGAACTAATCCAACCTTCTCCCACTCACTGTTAGCATCTCTCTGCCCCCACTGGGAGCAGGAGACGCAGCTTCCTCTTGGGAAAATGTAGTCCCACTGTCTTCCTCCTGCAATTAGTGACCCTCTTGTCAAGTCTGCCAAACGAATTCAGAGCAAGGTCATGAAGAGCAAACAGAACTGAAACATGGCAAACTCTTCGAACAACTGTAAATCCTGCCACATTGGCCTGGACTTCAAGTGTGGTCCAAAGGGAAAACAAGAGTCCTTGATATCTATAAATTTGCAAACACTCAAATAGGAAAAGTAAATATCAAAGATCCCCAGATTGGATGGTGGGATTTCTACTTCTAGGCTTCTACAGATGTGTTTGTTATGATGCAATGTTTCATTATACACGCATATATTCTTCTTGCCCCTTCTTACTCAGTGAGGAGGATGCACACTGCTCATTTAGTGACTGACTATTCACTATTTTTTTTCTTGTCACTGTTTACTCTGAACTTTTCTGACATTTATTGTACACTATTCAAACCTTGTTCTGAAGACAGAATGGCTTTTCAATAGCACATGTCAGTATATAGCACTTGAATGCTTCGTAAATACCAACTGTGTTATTTTCCTAATATTCTTGTGAGATAAGGCAGCAGTTACCTCCATTTTAAGCACAGGGATTTGAGGCACATAAAACCCATGGCAAAAGGTGTCTAATAATTTCAGAAACACAAACTGAGGCGTTTAGGACTTGCTTTTCCAGAATGTTCAGCATTGTACAGCATTTCACATGATCAAATGCTAACTTTATTTGCAGCTATGGGTGCCTAGTAATTCTTCAAGAACCCCTAGTCAGGCACTCAGAAAGCAAGAAAGAGACAGAAAATAAGAGTACAGAAATAAAAACACTGCATTGAAGCAGCATGATCACACAGAAGCTCAGTGGTACAGGCAAAGACGCATCATACTTTCTACAACATCCTTCAATCGTCTTAATTATGAGACCATCCTTCCTGCAATCCTTGCCATCTCTACAATCCTGATTTTCAAACATGACAGCAAATCACTGGTTCTCCAGGAAGCACATTTCACTGTGTGTGCCACATTCATCCTCAGATCAGATGTATTCTGAACAATAAACAACACTAGAGTCCTCTGAAAACAACTGAGTGTTATCCTGCCATTAAGATCTGATTCACAGCACACACACATTTCCTCTGAATAAAGCCTAAATAGGCATTTCAAATTACCATTCCTTACATTTCCTGTTTGCAGCTTAAAAATATAAACAGGGCTGCAAATATTAATACTATTAAATATTTTAACAGCATCAAAAATATTCTAAATTTTAAACCACAAACTGCAAATTAATTGCATGGCACTATTCAGACATCCACAGGTTAAACAGCAGGCCTTTATTTTTGGCACCGATAGAGACACCGTGGTCCCTTGGACTAAGGCAGTAAGTGATAGCATGAATAGGCTGTGATCCTTTATGAACACCACCATTATAGAATGATCAGACATTTTCACAGGTATTTGCTGACCACAGAAAACAATCACATTTAAAGTCCTAGTTTAGAAGGAAATGTTATCTGGTAGACAGACTTTGCTATTTCTGAGGCTATGACCTCCATCCCTTTCAATCTCTCTTATCAGTCTGATAAGAATCAAGCTGATTTTGCTCACATTGGCAATCCCAGTCTCAGTTTTCTGCTTCCAAGCTCTTAATTTCTGCTCCTGCCAGTCCTGGCTTTCTCTTGCCCATTTCTGCCAATATTCCATTCCCTTCTGCTGTTTATTCTTTTAAATAATTGAAGAGTTTTACTAAAATACTCCAGCATGTGGATAAACACAAAACTTCCTGAAACCTCCAGCAAGCTGGCAGGGCAACAGTATTTTAAGGCAAAACGGTCATAGTCTGGCAAAAGTAAATATGCAAGTGAAAAGAGGAACCCCTAATTGCCTTCCTTGTGACAATATCTTAAAGCCTGTATCAAAGAAAGGTAAATTTTATCTATGTGAAAAACTAGGGAATGCTGGAGTAAAATTCCTTTGTGCAAGTTAATCGTATATCTTCATTATTATAATGTGTTAAACTATGTGATCACATGCTTTTCACCCATGCAGGCTGTTAGGAAGGTTTAAATTTAGGATCTTCAGAACCAGACTCTAAGCTTCATTGATTTGATTAAGAAATAACTGGCTACGGAAGGAGGCATAGCCAGGGAAGGGGCATGATGTGAGTGCTGGTGCTTCCCACTCGAAACAGAACCTGAAGGCTTTGCAGTGATAGGAACAATTACACTGAAGCCAGCTAAGCACACAGCTTTAGGGCATGCATTACGAAAGGAAAACAGTTCAGACAAAACTTATTACATACTTGGCCTCTGCTCCTCCCTCTGCCTGAAGAAAACTTCTAATTACTTTATTTGTTCTCACTGGGGGAAAAAAAGTAGCAGTGGAAGATAAGAATATGCAAAACGACAGACCAGAAGGGACACATGCAGTCAGTCTAGTCCCTGCACTGAGCACCAAATATAGTACTGATGGTTTTCTGACACTGGTTTGCCTTACAAAACTGGGATGTAAAGATCCAAGTCATGGCTATTCTATTCACGATGAACTTCCAGTTGGCTGGTACTTTTGGTTGGGGTGTAATCTGTTTTTTTAAACCAAGAAATGCCTACTAGACAAAAACACTATCAAGTGCTTTTGCCAGTGTAGCTTATTGTATCAAGGGGATTGTTTTACAGATTTATTATAAAAACTAACTTTTCCAATGTAAGACTTTTTTCTCTTCAGCATTAAGAGGATTGACCAACAGTTTTCCTAACAACCTTTCCTGATGTTGATTATACCTCATTACAAAATGCACAGAAACAATACATAGGCTTTAACTGAAAGTAATTATTCTTCATATTATTAAAAAAATTATTATTATATTTTTGTAGCTATTATAACTGCAATATTATAGCAAACAAATACATAATAACACGAATGATGCAAAACCATTGAATCTCATAGAAAAAGAGGTGGTAGTTCATTCTTAACTTGATATATATTAAAGTAATTCCACTGAAGTTAACCTG